TTTTTTTATCATTTTTCATAATTTTAAAATTTTAAGTCATCGTCAATAATATGAATACAAAATACAAAATACAAAACTGTAATAATTATAAGAAATAATTATAAGAAATAGTAGACTATCTCATAATGCATGGTGAGAGTTAACAATGAAATAGTGTGACTGAAAATTAAGAAAATAAAAAATGACTCAATTGAAAGTTACAGGAAAGGTGATCCGTAACTAAATTGACAAATAAAAAATAAGATGACTAAATTAAAAATTATGATAAAAGTAGGTAAACCATCCGTGTTCCTTACCCCAACTTTTCGCATGTTTTATTTTTGGTTAAAAGTCAATTTTGGGCCTTCAACTTAAGATTTTGCATAATTTTCATCTCTTAATTTTTTTTTACACTTTTTGAATCCCTTAACTGTAAAAAAAATTTTTTTTTAGTCTTTTCGTTAATTAATCCATTAAATCTATCTAAATCTGTACGTTTTTAGTTATTAACTTTAAATTGAGGGATGAAAAATATGTATATATTAAAAATTAAGAATTAAAAATGTGCAAATTCAGATATACTTTATAAATTAATTGATGAAAGGTTAAAAAACTACATTTTTCATAGCTAAAAGATAAAAATAAAAAATAAAAAAAATTGAGGGATCAAAATTAACATTTAACCTTTATTTTTTTTTATCAGTTGGTTTGGTTAGCATATGTTTTTGTAACAAAGAAAAGAGAACAGAAGTCCCAAGGAGAATTAATTGGTTAAAATTAAACTTGATATCAAATTTGAATTTTAATTAGTTGGGAAGAGATTTGAAAAAGAAAAAAGGCCTATAACCTATCATCTAATGCAAAACAATAAAAGAAAAAAAAAGAAGAAGAAGAAGAAAGGACAGAGAAGAATGCAAGCTGGGAAGAAAGGAAAGTCTTACATACCTTGTTGAGATATATAGCTTTGTCAATGTCAGAAAGCAAATTCCATCGATTGCTTGGGAATAATTAATGTAAATCTATACTCTTAGGAGCAGAGTATGGATTCCACCAAGATGATGCGATATCTGGAGAAGGGTGTGCAAGCTCTGATCATAAGTTGTACACTTGAACTATAACCAATACTACAAAATCATAAAAAAAAAAAAAAAAAAAGAACGTTAAAACTCTAATTGGATTCCTTTATTTTGACAAAATTTTTTTTTTTAATTACTCTGCTTAAAAACTTTTTTTTGATCTTTAAAATTTAAAATTTCACTCTTTTTTAATTTCTCTGTGAAGTTTTGGTATTAAATAATAAAAATTTTAGAAAAGATGGATCAAAAAAGGATTTTTTTTAAGTAGAAGGATTAAATTAAAACTATTTTAATTAATTTTTAACCCTTTTTTATCCATTTACTTTAAAATTTTCATCATTTAACATAGCATATATGTAAAACCTAATAGAATAACTAAAAAATAGTCAGATTTTAAACTTTAAGAATAAAAAAGAGCTTTTTAAGTAAATAGATTAAAATTGAATTTTTTTTATCAAAATAGAAAGATCAAAATGGAGATTTAACCAAAAATAAAAAAAAAAAAAAGAAAAGAAAAGAAGAAGGTAGACAGGGAGATGAAAGTCAATACTTAGAGAGTTTGTAACTAAGCAATTGTTGTTGATTGCTTCCTCTCGATCTGGCTTTGAGGTTCCCCA